TGCGCTCCCGCTGCCACCCCCGCCGCCCGCGGTCTGGTCCCCAGAACCCGGCCAAGGCTGGCCTCCCACCCACGCGAGCTTGCTAGTGGGAGGCCGGGAACCTCCTCCTCCTTCTCCTGAGGATGAGGGCGAGGTGGTGTTGGTGTTGCTGGCAAGATGCGTGGAAGGGATGCGCGCAGGTCTTGTAACCGAAAGCAAAGCCGCACGCACTAAAATCCTTCCTCTGCCCAAGAGATATTTCACAGACTTGCTAGTTATTCTTTTAAAGTCAGATCTCTTCCTTTGACTTTTTTTTTTTCCCTTAGCGTTGTGTAAAGAACAGATGGTTCCGTGCCTGGGACACACAAGAGTCTGAAGCCCTCAGCTCACTGCCTGCTGTGAGCCTGGGGAGCCCAGCTCTGAATTCCTTCAACCACGAGTGCCAAGTGCCCTTATTTTAAAAAATTTATCAGGGTGACATTGGTTAATAAAATGAGATAGGTTTCAAGTGTATCGTTCTATAGTACATCATCTGTATATTGCATCATGTGGTCACCACCCAAAGTCAAATCTTCCATGGACACATTTGAACCCCCCCCCCTTTTTACTCTTTCCTACTCCCCTCTCCCCATCGTTCCTTCCGGTGACCACTAAACTGCTTGCTGTCTGTGTCTATGAGTTTTCGTTTGTCTTGTTCGTTCGCTTTTGGTTGTATATCCCACATATGAGTGAAATCATACGGTTCTTGACTTTTTCAGTAGCTTACTTCACTTAGTGTGTGTCCTGAGCAAGGAAAGCGGCTGCAGAAGTAACACCCTCGAATGTGTTTGTGTCTTTCCACAATGCCAGGTTTGCTCAGTGGAACCTTCTCAGATAAACCAGTCAGGTACCCACGCAGGTTGACGCACAAGGACAGAGCCTTATGTGACAGAGCAGAGGGATGAAAGTCCTTAGCGTCTCCAGAGAGAGCTCCACTGACCGCTGTTGCAGATAGATGCACAGGGGTCCCAAGCCAGTGGCTAGGCTGGACAGAAGGTCAGGGGCTTCGGCTCTCAATACGCTGTCGGTGATGCTCTCAGGTCAAGCTTGAGCATCATCTGTCTGAGGTGTTCGGCTTATGTGGACCTCATAAAGTGGGCTCCTTATGCTTATTGGCCTCTGCATTTGGGGGCTTATCCAGGGCAGTTGTGGCTGACGTTTCTGTGGTTTTGGGTGTTCCAGTCTCACCTTACGTTTGGTCCCTTTATGTGTCAGTTGACATTATTCTCGTAGCTCCTGTGGAATCCATTTTGTAAAGTCCAAAAAGTCCTCAATTCTTTATACGTACCACATCTCCTTTATCCAGTTATTTGTTGAAGGACCCTTTGGTTGTTTCCATGTCTTGGCCACTGTGAATAGTGCTGGAATGAACACGGAAGCGCATATATCTTTACGAATAAATGTTTTCAAATTTTTTGGGTAGTTAGAAGAGAGATTGCTGGGTCATATAGTAATTCTATTCTTAAATTTTTGAGGAAACCTCCATACTGTTTTCCGTAGTGGTTGTACCAATTTACATTTCTATCAGCAGTGTATGAAGGTTATTTTTTCCCCACAATCTCTTCAACGCTTATTATTATTTGTCCTGTTGATAATAGCTATTTTAACAGGTGCGAGGTGGTATCTCCTTGCGGTTTTGATTTGCATTTTCCTAATAACTATCGAGGTGAGCATCTTTTCATATATCTGTGGGCCATTTGTCTGTGTTCTTAGGAGAAATGTCTGTTCAGGTCATTATTTTTATTGTCCCTTTTCCTCCTCCCTGCCCCAGAGCAGTCACCTAAGGCCCGACCCCCTAGATGACTGGACCAACCACCTGTATTCCCCTGGGGCTGCCCCAGACTCCCATGACGACAATGTCCTTCCAATAGAAGGAGTTCAAAATTCTGTCCTGTGAGACAACTGTAAGATACTAGGTTAGCGGCATGAACCAAATGATATATTATTCTACTACGTAATGTCGACTTTTGGAGTTGTAATTTTATTTCCATTATTAATTTATTTTAAACTTTTTATTGCTTGGATGAGCCAATGTCGAAGATAACCTTTCACTTTGTCCGACAAATACCACTCTCCCCTCCCCTCCTCAATTTAAGATACAGACAGCACAGGGGCTGATTCCCTCCTGAGAGATTGAAAATACAAAGGGACAATGGCCAGGTCTTATGCAAAAAATAGAACTGTGAACTACAACTTCTGTAGCAAGCAGTCCGTGAAACCAAGTTCATTGTGGGAAGTCAACGAGAAAACGTTTGTAAAGCCCTTAGCATCGATTTGGTACATAGTAAATGCTTAATACAGGCTTGCTATTGTTATACTATTATTATATTTCTTATTCCCTCATCTCCATTCCCTCAGGGAAGAGGAGTAACTGGCTCCTCTCTTGCAACGGTTGGAGTTCCTTGGTGGAGAAGTTTGAGAACCACCGTAGGAAATGCATGCACAAGGCAGAGCAGCTCTGCTTAGAGCTATATCAAGAGGAATTTGCTGCTGTCAAAGATTAAGAATAAAAGCTCTTCTTCAAAATTGCAGCAGATTTCAAAGTCATTCCTAGAGCAGAGTAACTCGCAAACACTCACGTTCTGACTTTATGTTCCTCAAAGGGGTGAATTTGTCACCAGCACATCCCTGGGCTGCTCCGTGGTGAAAGGTGGGTGGGCAGGACATAGAGGCAGAGCCAGGAGTAAATCCTTGACCTGATGCTCTGGTTTTCAGTACCGAAGGCCAACTCCTCCTCCAGGGTCCCTGATGTCCTTTAGTTCAACTTCATTTCATTATAATGTTGATGAGCAAAAAAAATAAAAATAAAAAATAATCGATTCCTGGCCAAGCTCACTGTCTGTGTGGAGTGGGCAGGTTCTTTCCAGGTCTCTGGTTCCCCCCACGTCCCAAAGACGTACGTGTATGAGATTAAATGGTGTGTCTCAACTGTCCCAGCCTGAGCGAGTGTGGGCGTGGGTGTGAGCAGCCCTGTGCTGGAAGGGTGTCCATCCAGGGGTGCCCTGCCTTTGGCCCTGAGCTACTGGGAGAGGCTCCGCCCCCGCCCCGCCACCTGAGACTGCGAACTGGAATCAGCTGATTGGAAAATAATTATCGTACTTGTTTTTATTCATGTTCTTTAAATGTGTGTATAGCTCGCATTTATTTCAATGTTCAGTATTAGAAGTGTTTTGGGTCTTTATGTAGAACGTTGGTGATGTTTTCGTGACCAGAAATACACTGTGGGAACTTAACTCTTGTTTAGGACAATTAACTCATGGTGAAATTGGTGTTGTTTTACATCGTTTCACGTAAAGTCGCAGTGAGGATGTTAAGTGAGGACTTATTGTGGACGTTTTACCTCCCCTGAGATGGAATTTCAACTGTTTAGATAGTGAGTGAGTATGTTTGGCTCCAAATCTGGCAGAAATCAAAGTATCCGTTTGTACAGGTCAGCAAGACCCAGTTAAGAGAATGTAATGATTTATTAAACCGGCCTTCCCAAGAAGATAAACTGGCTGAGTCAGTAATAGCCTCGAGGGGTCTTAGAAGGAAACAGGCACTGAGCCATGTGGATCTCCTTCTCTTCTGCTGTATCCGCCTTGAAAGAGAGACAGATGAGCAACCGCTTGTGCTCTGAGAGATGAGCGGGGGAACTTCACGAGAGATGTCCTGGGTTGTGCTCTGGGGCTGCACCGTTGACATTAGACCGCACTGGGGGATGGTGGCCCTCACCCCTCACCCCTCACCTGACCGGGCCTCTACCAGTGGTGGGAAGCGGGAAGACCCTACCACTGAGCTGTGGTCTAAGACAGCCGGTCTCAGATCTTACCCAGCACCAGAATCATCTGGAGGTAAAATATGAATTTCTGTGCCCCACCCCCAGCATTTCTGATTCAGTGAGTTTTGCGGGGGGCAAGAATTTGCACCTCTGGGGTGCTGCTGTGGCTTGGCCAGGGCCACCCTTGAGAACCAGTTGTCTCGGAGGAGCCACTGTCCTTTGTAAACTCATCCAACCTGAAGCTGATGACAGTCTTCTTCAAGGGATCCAGAATAGGGACCGGGATGTTGGGAAATCTATGCCGTTTTTAGTTTTCCTTTTCTTTCAGCCAAGTGTCCAAATGAATAATGAATGAGCTGCTTTTGTTTCTTAAGCCCCAGTGTTAGAATGCTTAATTAGGTCCCTCTGTGTGGACGGGCTTGGGGGAACTTGCAGCACAATAGTCCCTCCTTTTCCTGGCGGGGCGGGGTGGGGGGGTGGGTGGTACATCCCAAGAGCCCCAAAGGATACCTGAAACCATGGATAGTATTGAACCCTATATATACTATGTTTTTTCCTATCATACCTATGCTAAAGTTAATTTGTAAATTAGGCGCAAGATCAACCAAAATAACGAATAATAAAATAGAACAATTATATAACAATATGTTGTAATAAAAGTTATGTGAACCTCGTCTCTTTCTCTCTCTCTCTCTTTCTCAAAATATCAAAATATCTGGACAAAGGGGTGATCCACATCCTGGGCAGGATGGAGAGGGATGGCATGTGATTTCATCACGCTCCTCAGAACGGCATGCGATTTAAAACTTACGAATTGTTTATTTCTGGAATTACCCATTTAGACCGTGGTTGACCAGAGGTAACAGAAACCACAGAAAGCGAAACCGTGGAGAAGGGGTGGGAGACCGCTCGCTGTAGGTTGGTGATGATGAAAACTAGCCTCTGAAGTAATATGGCAGCATCGATGGCGGTTCTCGACAAAGAGGCAACTATTCCAAAAAGGTGTCCATCAGCTAAGTTCCCGCCCACAGGTTTTCTCCGGAAGTTCCCAGGGCTGATTGTGGTCCTTGGGCTCTTCTGTCTACAGACTAAGCCATGAGCATTTTATGAGCAGGAGCCTTGCCAGTGTTATTTGTAACACGAGGCCAGAACAGTGCCTGGCTCTCTAAAGGTTTTCGTGAGTGTTTCTTGGATGAAGAGTCAGTGATTTGGAAACTCGAAAAAGCGAATCCCCAGCAGTCTGGGCAACAGCTCTTGGGGGAAACAGAACCAAAGCAATCTGGGTATTTGTGAGCTGGTCGGGAACATGACTTGTTGCCATGGAAGAAAACGAACACTAGATTTCACATAGAGGCGCCCAGAAATTGTTTCCTGGCAGAGTGCCTCTTCGGGGCTGTGGCTGGAGAGGTGGTAACAGCCCCAGGAGGGCACCATCGGGGCTGTTGTGTTCACCGCTTTGTGCCCTGAGCCTGGCACAGAGTCTGGCACTGTAACTGCTCCAAATGTTTGTTGAATAAACAATGGGCCATAGGGGGCTTCAGCTTAGGCAAGAGTTGGGCTGAGGTTTGGGGGTGCTGCAGACACCAATAGATAGTAATTGTAATTCAACTCTCTACATCTGCATAAGGGAATGTACCGTTTTATTTGCATAAGAAAAGCTCCCTCTCCAGATGAATCAATGCTGGGAATTCTAAACTGGATGCAAGAATACATTTTCAGGTAAAGGGGTATATTTTTGTCATGGCAAAGTGTGAAGAACACAATAAAAACGGCTGTAATTCTGCCACTCAGATATTCAGAGTTAAAATTTGGGGGTACATTTCTCGAGATCCTTTCTCCCAGGATGCTGTGTTTCTTACTTTTTCACTCAGGTAGCATTATTTGTGAGCATGTCCATGCCATTAAATGTTTTCCATTACTATTAGAAATAATGCTTCCGGAAACATCTTTGTACATAAAAGGTCCATGCCTGGGGACCTTGGGCAGCCTACTTCTCCTAGGGGAGGATGGAGTCCAGGGGGCAGAGCCCAAAGTCTGGAGTGGAGCTGCAGGGAGGAGGCACCTCTCCTATCCTGAAGGCCCAATAGCCCAAATGCAATACAAAAATGCATTTTTTATTAATTCTCTCAGAAAAAATCCACTTCTCTAATGACTAAGTCGTGGATTTTTCAGGTCAAAGGTTATGATGCGTGTTGCAAAGTGGAGGCGGAAAATAAGTTCTGCTACGGAAGAATCGATGAATTATAACTTTCCGCCTAACGATAATTCACAAAAAATACGAGAATTGTTTCTAAAATAGTTTCAGAACCACGAGTTTTAAATGGAGTCTATATCTGTGTTAAAGCCCTGGACAGGATTGCAAACATCAGTTCCTTTAAGAAGTGCTCTGTGCATAATATCCATCCACATAGATGCACATTGCCCAATTCGGAAAGGAAACGGCAAGTAAATAAGCATCTAAAATGTTAGGCCATTTCAGAAAGCAAGTAAATTGCATAACACTTACTGGAATCAGGCAACTCTGCAAGGCAGGCTGGGTAAATTCTTGAGATGACAGCCTACTTAGTCGTGTTTCTAGGGACAATGAGGCACCCTGCTTGGCACCCGTTTTGGGAACAGTGGAAAAAGTGCACAGGCAACCAGCCAAAAGTTTTACTGCCTTATTGAAATTCAGCTGGGGTCCAGGGGTCATCTCCCATCGGGCTGTTTTGTTCACTGTTTGTCCCTGTGCCTGGCACGGAGCCTGGAACACTGCAGGCTCCATAGCGCCACAGTCTCTTCTGAATACATTTTTCTAATTCCACTCGGTGTAACTTGACACAGACGTACAGTCTGTGCTGGGAAGGTGCGTAGAGGAGCAGAAAAGATTTCAAGGATCCAAATTCACTGTAGGGATATTATCAACCAGCTGTGGTGACAAGACCAATGGAATAGTCAAAGTTTCTGGTTGCATTCAACAAAACCCATCTGGCTAGATGAAGGTGGGACAGGATTTATCAGAGAATATTAAGGATCTCTGGGTTGCTCTGAATCCACACAGACGGGAGTAAAATCCCACCATGCAATGGGGCTCACTTTAGCCTCTAGAGACTATGCCTTCACTATGTCCACTAGGTACCTGCAAACATCTTTAAACATAAAGATGACTGTCTGTCCAGCCCCGCTTCCTCTGCCCATCAGGTACCTTTGCTGCTGTGCTCACTGGAAGATCACTCTCCTCTGCCACCTCCTCTCCTTATCCACTTCTGAATCCAGGCCTCACGTGGAGGCATCGGATTGGTGGAACCCTTGTCACATGCTCCACCTTCGCTGCAAGGAAGTATGGACACGCAGATGGAGTTTCTACTGTGGGAGGGCAGGGTTCATCACTTAGAAATGGCACCAAAGCATAGGGAGAGTGTTGAAGAGATGTTGGGTGGCCACAAATGACAAATATTCACAATCCCATGGAGGAAAGCTACAGTTTTTGTTTGTTTGTTTGTTTGTTTTTTTAAAGCAACACAAAGGTGAGATTTTTGTGGCATAAATTGAGTATTAGTGGATTTCAGAGAAGGGAAAGGAACTTGAGACCGTGGTTCAGCACAGACAACTTGGAGTAGATGGGTCTTGAATGTGGTGTGAAAGAAACAAGGATTAGACTTGGGAGAGAAGAAGGAACCATTTCCGGTGGGAGACTCGGCAGAGATAAAGGCATTGGGGTGTGTGTGTGTGTTGTGTGTGACTGTATAATTTGTCGTCCAAACCAGCACACTCAGGGGTAAAAGGAAACACTCTAAAAAATTGCACCCAGGTATACACTGGGATTGACCCAGGCAAACTGAGATTGACCCTGTGGATAGAGAATTCCTCGCCTTCTCATCCTACCGACAAGTAATTGAACATACGTCACCACTGGGAACTCCATTCACTCCTGGCTTACCTTGTCTCTCTAGTTTAAGGCCCAATTTAAACGAATCCCTCTGCGAGGCCTTCCTTTTGCTACCCCACTCAGGATCAATCACTTCGTTCCTTATTGCTGCTGGGACAAATTACTATAAATTCAGTGGGTTAAAATAACACAGACCTATTACCTTAACAATTCTAGAGGTCAGAAGACCAAAACAAGCCGCAGAGTTGTGTTCCTTCTGGAAGCTCTAGAAAAGAATCCGTTTCCTTGCCTTTTCCGGCTTCTAGAGGCCACCTGTATTCCTAGGCTCATGGCGTCTTCCTATATTTTCAAAGACAACAGTCTTCGGTTCCCTCCACCCTCACCTGGCATTGCTGCCAGAGGCAACCATTTAAACATTTTTTGCTGTATCTTCTGGGTGTTTGTTCCATATCTCTCACTAATAAACAAGTACGACAACTTAATTGTTCAACAATAATTGAACAGTATTAGTCATGACTTATTGATTTCCTGCTTCCCCAACTTCAGATCGAGCTTATTTACTGCCTCTTTGCCTTTTCTGCTTTATTCTTCCCAATTGCGTTGTTTCTCTCTTTTTAGTTTCTCGGTTACGTTTGTAAATTTAAGCCATATAGTTTCTTTTTATTTCTAGTTCTAGCAACCAGAAACGATATGTCTGTCTTGCCTTCCCACTTTGTAAGATGAAGACATTTGTCCTACCTCCCAGTCCTGTTCTCTCTCTGTCCTCAATGATTTAGCATTTTCCTGCATTCCAATATGTTAAATCACTTAAATAATTCCGTTAGAAAGAACAAAGATGTAAACAAACAAACAAACGAAAATCCTGTTTGTCCTATTAATGTATCACTATGTCTTTTTATCTATTTATCTAGCTATCCTTCTTCTCATCCTAGACGGTGGGTTCTCCTGGGCAGAGGTTGTTTCTGGAACCCACCTGGCGACAGGCTTTTTGCCAAGCAGCTTCTCAGTAACGTCTGTGCTGTGACTGATGAGCATGGGGATAGCGGTGTTCGAATCTCAGCTCTTTTCTGACGGGATAAATGAGACAGTCCTTTGGCTGGGACTTTATAGACTAGGCTGAAGAGACTTCTCTCAGAGCAGTATCATCTCTCGCTGTCCTTGCCGGGAGAGTAAGAAGAAATTAAGCAGGCAGACGGGTGTCCTCCGCGGCAGCCTCAGCCGTCCCCTCCAGTCGAGGCACGGGACGCAGTTACAGCGCTCTGGCCACAAGGGGACGCTGTGCCCTTAAGGATGGGCTGGCGGAGGACTTGCGACTGTATGTCGGCCACTGGCGGTCACTCTGATGCAAGTAAGAGCGGGACGCAGTTACAGAGCTCTGGCCACAAGGGGACGCTGTGCCCTTAAGAATGGGCTGGCGGAGGACTTGCGACTGTCGGCCACTGGCGGTCACTCTGATGCAAGTAAGATCACGCCCCTCTTCTCGGTAACGCATCCTGGACACCATTCTTCGTCAGTGCATATATATAGCTATCATGGTTATCCCGGCTCTTTACAGCTCTTGGCAATTGTAAACGTAATTGCGATGGCCGTTATGGTACCTTCATTGTTGACAGCGGGCCGCTTTATCACCCACTCTTCACCTGTCGGTAGGGGAGGAGGGGGCCTCACCTTCTCAGCAGGTGGACGCCCTTCCGGGACCCACCGGGAAATCAGGCACTTGAAGCTGTGCCCCGCCTCGGCTCTCTCGGGAGCCGGCCTGCCTGCGAGTTAAATCTTTTCACCTCTCTGTGCCTTCCTTCTCTGGGAGGTAATCCTGGCGTCTAATTGTCAGCTGTAGAGACATCTTTTGGAAAATTCGTTTTGGCCTAGAAGTCAGCTTTCTGGAGCCGACAATTCTGACAGCGGTTTAACCACTCCCATGTCTATTTCCTCACATGATTCAGAACTAGGAGGGAAGAGATGTGATTACTTAGCTTTAGAGCAAACATGTGGGTTCCGGAGGCCAGAGATGGGGCAGCAGACGGGAGGGGAGGGACGAGGAAGACACAGGTGTCTCTAGTTGAGGATGGAGGAGGGTCACCAAGTGTCTGTCCTGCTCCAGAAACAGGAGATCTCATCCAAGTCTCTCTCCATGAGGACAATGGAAGTTTGTATTAGGGTGGAGACAGGATCGAGGAGGTGAAACTTAAAAGGCGGGGCTGGGGGGGGGCGGGGACTGCCATGCTGACGACCAGGTCTCTGGCAACTTCCGCTGAGGGGGCAAACACTATCTCTTCGTCCCCGTTCACTATACTTCTTGGCAGAACTGCCTGTAGATCGGAGCGAGGGGGACCCTTACCTCGAACTCCACACTTTATAAGCCCTGCTTTGGCATTTATTCAACCGAACTACTTCCTTAAGGGTAAGGAGTCCATGAGTACATGGGGCATGCCCACCTGGTGCCCACGACACCCTCCGTCCCCTCTTCTGAGTATCCGGAAACCCGCAATTCCATACCCAACGGCCTCCATTTCCAGAGTCTTTTCTCCTCGGTTTCCGAGGCATCACTCCAATCTCTGCTTTCTCCTTCCTGCGGCTTCTTCCGGTGTGTGCGTGTCCAACATTTCCTGCCTTTGTGAGGACACCAGGCCTATGGATTAGGGCCCTGCACCCTCATGACCTCATTGTAACTTGATTACCTTTGCAAAGACTCCAGTCAAGGTCACATTCTGAAGTGCTGGGCGGTTAGGATGCCATCTTTTTCTGGGGACACGATTCAGCCTGTAACGCATCATATCGTCACAGTTGCTCTGGGGTAGATTTTGTTATAATCTTCTCTATTTTAGAGGTGAGGAAACTGAGGCCCGGAGAAATGAAATCATGTGCCAACGTCCCACAGCTTGTCTGGGCCGGATGTGAACTCTGGCTGGCCGACTCTG